AGAGGATGATGATACTTTAATTGACCAGGTTTCTTACTTCGTACACCAATAACTCCCATAGGAAGTGGCTAAATCTAATAACAGCCACACAGAGGGGAGTTGACCTCTACTCTCATACAGTATGTCCTCTCAGAAGCCTTATCGTTCCATAAACATCTCTAGAATAACCTGGAATCTATTGACTTTACTGCACAATGCTAATAGGTGACATGGTGCAAACATTTTAGCTTCCCTCTCATGTTATATGGCTACTGACCAGGGTTATGCTCAAATTTCATTTAAATTAACTCAATTGAAGGAAAATAATTCAAAAAATGACCCATTGTTTTGTATGAAGGTTTTCAAGTTCATGCAGAGTTTCCACCCAGTGGAATAATAAATAGACCCTAACCCTGCAACTGAAAAAAGCAGAAGTGCCACTCTCACTAAAAACCAGGTAACAGCAATGTCAAGGTGTTACATGCTTAGTAAGTGAGGATGACATCTGAGAATCAGACACACACCTTTATCCCCACTCATCTAAAAACAGATAGGACAACTGGATTGGATTAAAATCACAAGACAAACAGACACTTTCTGGTTCACCCACTTCAACTGTCAGTTGAAACCACTGAGACATACCTTTTCGCCTCGCACATCTTAATGATGTTAGTCCAACCTAAAACAAACGTGTCCAGGTGAGTTAAGATCCCCTCGATAAAGATCAGAATGAACCTTTCAGATCAGAATGTGTGTGTGCCAAATATTATATGTAGCAACAGTGTAACTGTCATACAGATACTCTTTCCTATGTGTCTGTGAATATACAGTATGTGTGCTTCTAGTGTGTGTTCCTCGGTGGGTGCTCAGTGTTGGTATGCGGGCTTCTTCTGTTAACTCCACATGCTCCCACTCACTGAAGGCTCTGCCGCTGCCTGGCTGTCTGCTTGCTAAAGAGCATAAGGTGGATAGGGGTGAGGAGGGGAGGGGAGGGGAGGGGGTAAGGTTTAGAAGAGGGGGGCCAAAGGGAACACCATGCCCCCAAGCCAGTCAGAGCGAGAGGTGAGGGAAGTTGGACGGGGGGTGGGGCGGTATCTCCAGGGGCCAGAGAAGCCGAAGGGTAAGAGAGGGGGAGGGGGAGGGGTGAGAGAGGGGTGAGGGAGGTGCACAGTGCTGCCTGAGGTACTTCATTCTCATGCAGAGTGATTACCGAGGCACATCCATCATGTTGTCTTGTTTGGGGGGTTTCAGAAAGCACTTCACTAAAAGCATGACATCAAAAGACACACGTCACATACCCAGGTTAGGAGCCACAGCATGAACCAAGGATCAAACACCTCAGGTCTTCATAGCTGTTTCACCACCAAGTGCTAACCTCTTACTTTCAACCAATTATAACATTCTATATATACTTTTTTACTCCTCCACAAGGATATAAATAACAACCTTTACACACCTGGAATGAGATAAAGAGCGATAACTGTAAGTCGGCTGTAAGTCCCACTAGACGGGCAAGTGCCACAATTGGCTATATCGTAAACATTTATGAAAACAACATTAATTCAAGGTTAGGGTTAGGGATAAGGTTAGGTTTAAAATCAGATTTTTTGAAGATAAATTGTAGAATAAAGCGGTGTTTATGACTTTGCCACTTGCACACAAAGTGACTACCCTGTAGGTGGGCGTGGAAGCCAACTCATCCTCCATGGTCAAACCTAGAATACGTGGAATCAGTTAGCTGCTAATGCCAGCCTAGCATTGGTGGTTAACCATTCAAGGCCTGGGGAGGAGGGGGGAGGAGACTGCGTTATCTGTGTCTGTTTTAAATGGTTAAGACACAGGGCGGCTCCACCATATTACCACAAACACACACAACCCCCCAGGCTACAGGCGTAATCTGGTCACTCCGTTTCCACGGCAGCCATTTGAATAAGGGCTCATTAGCGACCATCAATCACCCTGTTCCTAGCCCGAGGCTGGGACCATTCACACACACACACACACACACACGCACTCCTGTGACTATAGTTCATCCTCAGAGCCTTTGTGTGTTTCCTTTATATCCACGATGTCATCATCCTTCTCTCACAGGCCAGGGTTTGTGTGTTTCCTTTATATCCACGATGTCATCATCCTTCTCTCACATGGCCAGGGTAGTGGTACGACATCCTTCTCTCACATGGCCAGGGTAGTGGTACAGAACATGATGCCGGATCCTTCTCTCACATGGCCAGGGTAGTGGTACAGAACATGATGCCGGATCTAAATAGCAGCTCTCTACTACCGTACAGCACCTGATGGCTCATCTCTCTACACTACAGCTTTGGCTGACGTCCCTCCCTGAGCCAATCCCTAAGTATAGATGTAGGAGATCATATTGCACTAGCAGGGGAATGGTTGGGGTCTTTCTCTTCATAGCACTCACCTGCCCAGGTGTGTGTGTGTGTGAGTGTATGTGTGTGTTTGGTTTGAAATGCCTTATCTGAGTGCTTCAGGGGGAGCACTTAACCCCACCCCTTTCAGAGCAGGTGGCTCTGCAGAAGTGATTATGTCGGGAGAGAAACTTTGCGCTTTGGTTCATAGAACCGTTGATTGCATCACTTTTTTTACATGGTGGGGTCGTGAATTTTTTTTTTATCGGGTCGGGGGCCAAAAAATTTGGAAACCCCTGAATTATGTCATCTAAAGAATTCTATTTTCCTTCTTCTTGAGACTTTGAGGAAGTTTTGGATTTTTTGTTGCTTTTTGATGTTTGACTATACAGTATTCAGATATCCATTCTTAGTTACTCATAGGTCCGTTTTATCTAATACATATCTTTCTGTTCCCCCATAAAGCTGCGTTAGATCATTTATACCCTTGTGTCTTAGTCTCTCTCTCTTTTTGGCCGTCCACTCTCCTGATTCTGGCATCAGCAGCAGAGTTGGTTCCCAGAGTGTGTAAATTAATATGATAATAATGATGACAGCATTGGTTTAAATTGCAGAGTATGACAGCCAAGGTATGCAGGGGCCTGTTACAACACAGACACTGACTTCAACATGGGCACTGACTAGAAAACCAACAGGTTATGGGGTTCAACTCTACTGGATTGAACTCACAGAGCGGAGCTACATAGAGGTAGCATCTGATCTGGGCCAGCATTCATGAAGCGTCTCAAGAGTAGGAGTGCTGTTCTCGAATCAGTTTTGCCTTTCAGATAATAATGAGAATAAAATGATTTGGACAGGGGAAACCTGATCCTAGATCAGCACTCCTAATCTGAGACGCTTTGTGGATATGGTCCCTGGTCCCCAAAGGACATTCGGAAAGAATTCAGACCCCTTCTCTTTTTCCACATTTTGTTACATTACAGCCGTATTCTAAAATGTCCTCATCAATCTACACACAATACCCCATAATGACAAAGCGAAAACAGGTTTTTAGACATTTTTGCAAATGTATAAAAAAACGTATTTACATAAGTATTCAGACCCTTTGTTATGAGACTCGAAATTGAGCTCAGGTGCATCCTGTTTCTATTGATCATCCTTGAGATGTTTCTACAACTTGATTGGAGTCCACCTGTGGAAAGGCACACCACCTGTCTATATAAGGTCTCACAGTTGACAGCGCATGTCGAGCAGAAAAAAACAGGTTGAAAGGAATGTTGAAGTGGCGATGGATTAGGCCTGCATCGTAGCTGGCCCCTAGAGTTGGTTCGATCCAGTCTGTCGTCGGCGCGACGCGGGGACCATGGGGCGGCGCCAATTGGACCGGTAGGGAGGAATGGCGCAGGGAGAGCTCAGTTGATGCAGCAGGCGTTGAACGCCGGGTTTGGTTCGTAAATAAGTATGCGCACATGTACAGCCTGGATAGAGCGTTGCCAAAATGCTAAAATAAAGTAAATGTAAATCAGAATTTTCCGTATGAGCCCGAAACAAGATTCTCGGGGTCTGGTGGAGGAACAAAAATCTGAAGCTTTGAAGCCACTCTCAAGTAAAGGCACTGACAGCTGTTCGAGTTGCCAAAACCTAAAGGACTCTCGACCATGAAAACCCTACGGTGATGCATGTAAAGGTGAACCTTTCATATGCCAAAGTACGTTTGAGAAATGCACCATCCCTCGGTGCATAGGTTTGCGCATCATGCTGTGTGATTTTTCAGCAGGAGGACTGGGAGAGTAGTCAGGATCGAGGGAAAGATGAACGGAGCAAAGTACAGAGATACCCTTGATGAAAACCTGCTCCAGAGCACTCAGGACCTCAGACTGGGGTGAAGGTTCACCTTCCAACAAGAACACAACCCTAAGCACACAGCCAAGACAACGCAGGAGTGGCTTCAGGACAAGTCTCTGTATGTCCTTGAGTGGCCCAACCGGAGCCCGGACTTGAACCCAATTGAACATCTCTGGAGAGACCTGAAAATAGCGACGCTCCCCCATCCAACCTGACAGAGCTTGAGAGGATCTGCAGAGAAGAATGGGAGAAACTCCCCAAATACAGGTGTGCCAAGCTTGTAGCGTCATAGCCAAGAAGACTCAAGGCTGAGTAAAGGGTCTGCATACTTATGTAAATGTGATATTTCAGTTTCTAAAAACCAGTTTTTGCTTTGTCGTTATGGGGTATTGTGTGTAGATTGATGAGGTAAAAAAAACAATTTAATCAATTTTAGAATAAGGCTGTAACGTAACAAAATGTGGAAAAAGTCAAGGGGTCTGAATACTTTCCGAATGCACTGTATACCATCTCAAAAAGCTATTACAGAATGTCTTACAAGTCCTCTCACAACAATAATTTATTTTCCCTTTATGCCACACTACTTTTGGCTATACCATGTTCACATTTGTACACCAAGGGGAGATTACAAATACACTGGCGCCCTCTTGTGACATGACAGCCACTTATAATGCAATGATTCCCAAACCTATGAGAAAGGGCACAAAACCAATCAAACCAGCCCCAAAAGGGATGAGCTGCAATTTGCAAAACACCATTTTTATGTTTTGACCATGTAATCATATGCTAGTTCTCTCAGAATACTCACCCACTGGTGACATCCTCAGGGCGCGCTGCGTTCTTGCTCAGCACATCCCCGTCACTCATGTAGCCCGTCACCTCCATGGCAATGCCCTCCAGGTCAATATCCTCCCCTCTCTCCCCCAGATCCATACTGAGGGCACCTCCCCGCCCTGCCAGCTGTCTCCGCAGGGGGCCAGGGTACAGGTAGCGCCCCCCTTGCCCTCCTCCTCCCAAGGCACGACCCCCATAGCCGTTCCCTGTAGAGGGGGCGTCCCCCGCCTGCAGACGGGGGCTGGACTGGCCCAGTCGCCATGACGACAGGGAGGGCCGAGAGGAAGTGAGGCTGAGGATGCTCCGCCCACTGCCGCCGCTGATCTCCGTGGTGACGTTGCTGTCAAAGGTTGTCTCCAAGGTGCTTGGGGAGGGAGGGAGGGAGGGGGAGAAGCAGAAAAAAAGACTATGAGCGTAAGACTAGACATTCACTCATCAGCATTGAACTGGACTAGATTAGACAGCAGTCTCTAATCCTGTGAAAGGGAGAGCAAGCAGCACGGAGAGAGACTGGGTCATGAGCTTGAATCAAAATCCAAAGACAAGACCACTGCTCCATCCAGCCAATACTGGATCAAAGACACTGACACTCTCATAAAGGGGTGGATCATGCTGAAAAACCAGACACAAGACACAGTCTAGTGGGTTTGGAGAACAAGCCCTCCGTTACATACAAACTAGAATAGAGCATCAGACAGACAAGTCTCAAACCGCAAAAGTTCATTCAACTTCGTCCATAATTCTATTTCTATCTGGCAACCCTGGAGGCTGGGACACATCCACAGTGTCAGATGCGGAGTTTGTAGTGACACTACATGGCCACTAGGTGGCAGTCATGTCCCACTTAAGCCACACGCCATCTTCAAAATTAGACCTTTGTCCTGGCGGACCACCCATTAACACTACTGCTTGTTAAAACAGAGCGCTAACTCACCTTTCCTTTTACATTAACACTACTGCTTTTGGGATTTTTAAAAGAGAAAGTGTTATGGATCATTGTTAAGAATAGCTTTATTGTGATCACTACAGTCTAGGTCCAAAATGCTTCTAAACAGCTTCTAATAATAATATAATATGCCATTTTGCAGACGCTTTTATCCAAAGCGGCTTACAGTCATGTGCGCATACATTTTTACGTATGGGTGGTCCCGGGGATCGAACCCACTACCCTGGCGTTACAAGCGCCATGCTCTACCAATTGAGCTACAGAGGACCCCCAAGCCATAAGACTCCTGGACAGCTAATCAAATGGCTATCTGCTTTTATTGTTTACTTATCTACTGTTTATTTAACACTTATTTTTCTTAAAACTGCATTGTTGGTTAAGGGCTTGTAAGTAAGCATTTCACTGTAAGGTCTACCCTGTTGTATTCGGCGCATGTGACAAATAACATTTTATTTTATTTGATATTGTGGTCTCTCTCTAGGAGCTGTGTCTGTTATGTCTTAATGGATGTCAGTGGAACTTGTTGAATACACAGAATTGAATCTGGAATCTGTTTGGATACTGGACTGGACATATGTTCTGGACCTGTCCATTCTCATTGCAGGGGGTTCTTACCTGTGTGTGATCTGAGTCCCCCGTAGACTGGACATGGTGTCTTCCAGGTTCTGGCGTAGGTCTGCAATGTTTTTAACAGTCCGCAGTCGCCGTGTCTCTGGATCTTCTGCTATACAGAACAAACAATGTGACTGAGTACATAGGTACTAGTGGTGCGCGGGTCAACTGTTTGTTCACCCGCACCCGCCCGCAATTGCTAATAACCCATCAGCAACCGCCAGACTATATGTGATAAAGTGAGAATCTGAGGCCCAAACTCCGACGTCATTTTTGCCTCCGTGGATCGACGTTAACTTTTTCTCCCTGTTCCCAAAAACATTTGCAATTGGTGTGTAGGCTATTTGGCGCGCGTACAGTTAGACTCTAAAGCTTACACACTAATGCCAGATAACCTAAAATAATGAAATAAAAACCTCAATGTAGCCTATAGATATAAATTGCACATGAATTATACATTTAAGGATTTTTTAAAGTATTGTGTTCTCTTTATTCAACCCGCCCGCCACCCACCTGCCCTTCATCAACACAATTCTTCATGACCCTAAACACACCTGCCCCGTGGATATAACTGAGGGGACTGCGGACTATGAGTCAACCTGCGCATCACTAATGGTCACAACAAAAACCACAACTGAATTGTGAGTGCATTAGCCAGAAAGGTATTTTTCCCATCAGACAGAATCAATCCACAGTCGGATTAATGTGCTGTTCTCCTCAAACTAACAATCTCACACAATATATATATATATATATATATATTTTTTTTAATGGCCTATGTAATTTCTGTACTGTTCAGACACACATAATCAATTGCCCATCAGCTCCTACAGACAGAACTAGTCGATGGCCTACCTGAAAGGTCCTCAATGGATGGCTGGCTGGTTTTAAAGGGGACGTTTTCTCCGCCCGTTCCTCCTGACCCTGCCTCTGTCGCCATGATACCGTCCACGTCCGTTTGTGACCTAGATGATAACAAAGTGCCAAAGGTCAAAAGAAATATCAGGATTGTCAATGTCAATTCCCCCCTTTCTCTAAAACAGAGATGGTATGATCCTGCCGTTAATGCCCTATGACTGGTTAATGACAGGAGAGGAAGTTCCTAAGTGGTGAGTGTAGGAGTGAGGCAGTGGGGGGGCTATTCATACAGGGGAGGATCAGAGGTATAGGTCAGGGGTGGGGTGAGCATACAAACACACAGTGGGAAAGGTGATTCTAGGGGAAATTCCTAGCAAACAGCTTGCAGATGCCCACTAATGATCAGTGACTAATGACTTATGATCCTTTCAGACTTTCTCAGGATACTAATACAGATTCACAAAGGCCTGGTCGGGTAGACACATCATGACAAAATGTTACAGTTGACAGTTTTATCAGTCCAAAGTATGTATATTACTCACCTGTACATGAAGGGTGCTACGGTGGCTGTGTTGGGGTGGCTGTGGTGCTGCTGGGGCTGAGGTAGCTGGACGCTGACTGTGTTGCAGGCTGTGCTCTGTGTAGCGCCACCACTACCACCTTCCACCACCGGGGCGGCACTGTGGCCCTGTTGTGAGGCCTTGCCCTCTGTGGAAGCCAGACTAGAGGTAGAGCTAGAGTGTCTGCTGTCCCTGTCTCTGTCAAGGTGTCCGCGGTGCAGGACCAGACCCCCTCCCAACCGCATGCTCCGGGGACGCTCCCCGCCCTCCTTCCCCCCTGCCGAGGCGGCCTTCCCCCCTAGCCCTGAGGTTTTACCCCCTGGCTTTGGTATGCCGCTGTGTGCAGGGACAGAACTCTCCTTCTTGGCCACTTTGCTCCCTTTGGGTATGAAACTGGCGATTTTAGAAGTTCTCTTATTGGAGGAGGGTTCCGTTTCCATGGCGACAGTGGTAGTCGCTTCCTCCTTAGGCTCCTCCCCCCTGAGTTCCATCCTCTCGGTGGTGATGTGCTTCCCCGCCTCTTTCCCTCTTTCCTTCTCTTTCTCCTTCTCCTTCCCCCTATCCTTCTCTTTCTCCTTCTCCAGTCCTTTCACTGAGCTCTTTTTAGCAGTCAGAGCTCTGCTGAATGTGCGCTGAGCGATTCCCCTCAGTGCGATCTTGGGGCTGCTGGTTGTTGTGGCGATGGTAGGGACATGGGTTGAGGCACCACTGTGGGTCATCCCATTACCGGTCCCGTTGGCGCCGGGCCGGGCGTTCCCCTCCACCTCCTCCAGGGAGTCGGTGTTGGACCCTGCCTCTGCCCTCTCCACTCCACCAGCCCCGAGCTGCCGGGCGGGGGCACCACTGTCCGCCTGAGCCCCCTGAGTGCTGGAGGACGAGGACTTAGATCCACCTTTACTGTTAAACAGCTTGAACTTCTCCAGCATAGACTTCTGTTGGATAACTTTAGGGGGTTGCTCGGTGGACGAGGAGGCCTTAGAGGAGGTATCCTTCTCCTGCTTGACAGAGAGCATGGCTGAGGAGGAGGTGTGCTTGGAGCTCCCAGATTTACTCCTCCAGGGCTTGCTGCTGGAGTTGGGGTGGGGGATGGCCGAGGAAGAGGTGGAAGAGCAGGAGGATGGAGGGACGGGAGCCGAGGTAGAGACGCTGTTGGCGGAAGTGCTGATGGTCGCTGGGGACGACGGAGCATGCTCAGTCATTACCGGAGTCTGTGAAGTCATACCCTCTGAGGGTTCTGTGAGGAAGAGGAGGGAGAGGATGAAGAGGTGGAAGGGATGAAGAAAAGGATGAGAGGAGGAAGTGAGAAGATGAAGAGGAGGAAGAGAAAGGGGAAAGCAGGAGTAGGAGAGAGGATAAGGAGAGGGGAAAGGAGAGAAATAAGAGATTGTTAGATAGAGCAATCCTCATAGACCCCACACTAACTGTCCATATAAGGTCCTGCACTGTGGAACGCTCGAATTAGCCTGTGTTGACACAGTCTAAACGTGTCATTACTTAAACGCAAGCGAACCCACAACACTCGGCTAACTATTAGAAACCTTGGACACTAACAATGAGAGTGCCAATCATAAACTGTTTATAAAAACAATGAGGGAAAGCGCTTTAAAGTTGGCCAAGGAATTTGAGCTGAGATACAACACTGCCACTGACACCCTTGGGAGGTTTGGACTTATATGGACTGATTCTGGTCATTATCTTCCAACTCACAGACAAATACTTGCTCCATTCCAAGTTTGTATTCTGAACTACTGTGGAAATGACCTAGCTAAAACACAAATATTTTCATTAATTTGACTTTTTTGTCTAAATGAAGGTTTTACATAAGATACATCTGTTTCACTGTTACAGAGCACACAAAAACCAACACAAAGCACTTTTAAAAGTTTATATTTTGTTACCCCTCTAAATCAATAATGTTTGACTTACCAATAACAGTCACAATCAAATCCAAAACCCACATAGATACAGAACTAGCTAAGATATTCTTCCTCAAGAGGCTAATACTGTACAGTACAAGAATAGAGTATAGTTATTGTGTGCCTGTAGAGACTCCCAGTGCCTACTTACTGCTAGCCTTACTTTGAATATTCAAAGCCAAACTGCCAAACTGCCCTTGTGGCCACTCCCATGCCCAACCCATTAGCCAGCCAGTACAGCACATGGACACAGCAAAACAGAAGCTACTGTCCTGCTGCACTTCCAAATACTTTCACAAACACTGTCAATTAAGTAATGATCTCAAACTGAAGCCGTTGAAATTCCTTTCAATACACTATTAGAAAAAAAGGTGCTATCTAGAAACCTTAAAGGGTTCTTTGGCTGTCCCCATAGGAGAACCCTTTGAATAACCCTTTTTGGTCGCAGGTAGAACCCTTTTCGATCCAGGTAGAACCCTTTTCGGTTCCAAGTAGAACGCTTTCTACAGAGGGTTCTACATGGAACCCAAAAGGGTTCTACCTGGAACCAATAAGGGTTCCCCCTGGAACCAAAAAGGGTTCTCCTATGGGGACAGCCGAATAACCCTTTTGGAACCCTTTTTTCTAAGAGTGTAGCATCTCTTCTTACAGTGCAGTATGCAACCCTTTTTTCAGTATACCGCATTAGCGTGACTCTAAACACTTGACTTTATCATGGTAACTCCTTAAACGACTCTATTTTAATATTCACACATTTGGGCCTCGTTAAGGAAGTATTTACTAGGAATATTAAACACTCCACATCTTTATGCCACATCCCATTTTCACCACATCTATTCCTGTTTTTTAAGCACCTTTCATGCCCTAATTGCTTTTCATGCCCCTGTCGTTTCCCCCCAGTTCAGTATTTAGCGAGCGAGCATTGAAACAATGTGCACATTAGGAAGTGATTAGGGCCCAATTAGCCATGCTAGCAGTTAGCCAGCAGAAAGTGGGTCAGGCTGCTAATAGCTGGCTTCCTATTGGAGGAGGGCCTGAATGAGAGCGAGAGGAGGACCAGCAGTAATTACAGAGGAGGTAGAGGAGAGAGAGAGAGAGAGAGAATGAGAGAGAGAATGAGAGACAGAGAATGAGAAAGAGAGAGGGATTCAGACTCACTGAGGCTGGGATGTGGGAAAAGGGGAACTTTGAGAAGCTTACATCATGCCAACAGAACAGTCTGTGCCCCAGAGGGAGAATAGGGGGTGAAACCAGCTGGGGTTTTGGTTCAGAAGTGGACATTGTGTTGGCTTGGACACTGGACACAAGAAAAACACAGAGCATGCCTGGGGATGACCCAGAACCAGATGACCACCTAAAATGCCCCAGTTTGAATGAAAAGGAGATCCACATTTCACATCCTGGGTCAGAGGTGAACTTGCTATGAACCCCTTGCCCCACGGTTGTCAATAAAGTTGTATTGAAATGAATCCCCTTCTTTTTATCACACAATTGACTTGTTTGCCTGTTTTAGAGACACACATGATGTATCAATACACATAAACACTCACACCTGAGCCACTGACCAGCATTCTTTCTCCCTCGCTCTCACCTAAAGATTGCCACACAATGAACTTTCGTCTCGTCCAATATCACAAACACATGGACTGCTGACATCACACTCATAATAGGTCATAGACCTCCTGACCTGACTAAGATCACTGTGACAAAGTTCACTACCTTGGGACAAAAACAGAATTCCACCAACACACACACACACCTTTGTGACTCTATATGACTTGTGTATTCTAGTAGTTTACACAGGACACATGTTTTAGTGTTTAAATCTTAACTACTCAATTAGTCAAGTCAATTAGTAGTCTGAAATCTGAGTCTGACAGAGGCCCTCAGGACTTAACCACAGACCACCAGTGAACTTCCTGCCATAACCCAACTCTGTCTCTCACACACACACACACACACACACACACACACACACACACACACAGAGACAGACACACACACAGACAGAGACACTCTCACCTACTCTAGTCAAAAAACCTGTGTTGAACAATGTTTTATCCAAAATCTAATCTACAGTGCATTCAGAAAGTATTCAGACCCCCTTGACTTTTTCCACATTTTGTTACATTACAGCCTTATTCTAAAATTGATTAAATAGTTTTTTCCCCTCATCAATCTACACACAATACCCCATAACGACAAAGCAAAAACTGGTTTTTAGATATTTTTACAAATGTGTTTAAAATAAGAAACTTAAATATCACATTTAAATGAGTATTCAGACCCTTTACTCAGTACTTTGTTGAAGCACTTTTGGCAGAGATTACAGCCTCGAGTCTTCTTGGGTATGACGCTACAAGCTTGGCACACCTGTATTTGGGGAGTTTCTCCCATTCTTCTCTGCAGATCCTCTCAAGCTCTGTCATGTTGGATGGAGAGCGTCGCTACACAGCTATTTTCAGGTCTCTCCAGAGATGTTCGATCGGGTTCAAGTCCGGGCTCTGGCTGGGCCACTCAAGGACATCCAGAGACTTGTCCCGAACCCACTCCTGCGTTGTCTTGGCTGTGTGCTTAGGGTTGCTGTCCTGTTGGAAGTGAACCTTTGCCCCAGTCTGAGGTCCTGAGCGCTCTGGAGCAGGTTTTCATCAAGAATCTCTCTGTACTTTGCTCCGTTCATCTTTCCCTCAATCCTGACCAGTCTCACAGTCCCTGCCGCTGTAAAACATCCCCACAGCATGATGCTGCCACCACCATGCTTCACTGTAGGGATGGTGCCAGGTTTCCTCCAGACGTGACGCATGGCATTCAGGCCAAATAGTTCAATCTTGGTTTCATCAGACCAGAGAATCTTGTTTCTCATGGTCTGAGAGTCCTTTAAGTGCCTTTTGGCCAACTCCAAGCGGGCTGTCATGTGCCTTTTACTGAGGAGTGGCTTCCATCTGGCCACTCTACCATAAAGGCCTGATTGGTGGAGTGCTGCAGTGATTGTTGTCCTTCTGGAAGGTTCTCCCATCTCCACAGAGGAACTCTGGAGCTCTGTCAGAGTGACCATCGGGTTCTTGGTCACATCCCTGACTAAGGCACTTCCCACCCGATTGCTCAGTTTGTCCGGGCGGCCAGCCCTAGAAAGAGTCTTGGTGGTTCCAAAATTCTTCCATTTAAGAATGATGGAGGCCACTGTGTTCTTGGGGACCTTCAATGCTGCAGAAATGTTTTGGTACCCTTCCCCAAATCTGTTCCTCGACACAATCCTATCTCGGAGCTCTACCGTCGTGGTCAAATGTTTTGAGAATAACACAAGTATTGGTCTTCACAAAGTTTGCTGCTTCAGTGTTTTTAGATATTTTTGTCAGATGTTACTATGGTATACTGAAGTATAATTACAAGCATTCCATAAGTGTCAAAGGCTTTTATTGACAATTACATTAAGTTTATGCAAAGAGTCAAGATTTGCAGTGTTGACCCTTCTTTTTCAAGACCTCTGCAATCCACCCTGGCATGCTGTCAATTAACTTCTGGGCCACATCCTGACTGATGGCAGCCCATTCTTGCATAATCAATGCTTGGAGTTTGTCAGAATTTGTGGGGTTTTGTTTGTCCAGCCGCCTCTTGAGGATTGACCACAAGTTCTCAATGGGATTAAGGTCTGGGGAGTTTCCTGGCCATGGACCCAAAATGTTGATGTTTTGTTCCCCGAGCCACTTAGTTATCACTTTTGCCTTATGGCAAGGTGCTCCATCATGCTGGAAAAGGCATTGTTCGTCACCAAGGAGGATGTGTTGGGTACCATTCTTTCATCATGGTGTGTTCTTAGGCAAATTGTGAGTGAGGCCCACTCCTTGGCTGAGAAGCAACCCCACACATGAATGGTCTCAGGATGCTTTACTGTTGGCATACACTGACTGATGTAGCGCTCACCTTGTCTTCTCCGACAAAGTTTTCCGATGCCAAACAATCGGAAGGGGATTCTCAAGAAAATGACTTACCCCAGTCCTCTGCCATCCTGAGCAAGTCTCTCCACTGGGGGCCCTCCGCAAGAATACTTTCAGCGGTCCCTGCGCTTTGGACTTTTTGGCGCCCTGAAGCCTGGCTCCTCTGAACCTTTCCCTGGTTCTTGAGACCGATAATGTGCTTAGGTGCATCTTACTAGAGCAAATCTTGCCTGTGAAGCCCTTTTGTGCAAAGCAACTGTGAGGCGTGTTCCTTGAGGATGTTACAGAGAAACATGATTTCAAGCACCACCTTTTTAAGCTTCCAGTCTGTATTCTAATCAATCAGCA